TTAAGAATGAAGAATGAGGCATAGATGAGTTTGAGTTCGGAGGAAAGAGAAAGTGTGATCTATATTACAGCTCTCTATATGACGCATACAGACTTTATTAGAGCCACAGAAAGACAAACATTTAGCTGAAAAAAGCACAATACACGATTATACAGCCCAGGATGAAGCCATTATGTACCTTAACAACGATTTAGGACAAATTTGTGTCCCTGCAGCACAAAAGCAGTGTTTAGTCGCTGGGGGATATTTGTAGCAATAGCCAACAATACATTGTATGGGTCACAATTATACATTTCTCTTTTATGCCAAAAATCATTAGGATATTAAGTAAAGATCGTGTTCCAGGAAGATATTCTGTACGGACGCCTCTTCTTCTTAAAGGGGTCATATGATGCGATTTCAGTTGTTCCTTTCTCTTTGGAGGGTTCTGATCTGAAAATGACATCATGATCCCGAGCGGAGAAAGAGGCGGAGCCTGAACACACACACACACACACACACACACACACTGCTCCGCTCGGCGCTGTGCGGCTGTGGCTCGGGCGGGTGGTGTTTGCGGCGGGGGGTGGGCTCGGCCTCCGTTACAGCTGTACAGTGAATTATATACACGTGTTACTGTAAAAATAAATATGATCATGTAGACGTGAGTTGATATTTGTGATGTTACTGAAGGAGACGGTCACTTTCTTCACTCTTTTCTGATGTCTCTGCCAGTGTTTCCCAGCATGCACTGCAGCGAGTCATGTGTGGTTTCTGCTGTAAGATGATTGTGATGCTCGGAGTCTCTGATGTTTGTGTGCGGATGCATACTCGTATCAGATATTCCTGAGTTAGAGATGGGTCTATACACTGTGTCTATACCGTCTCTATACAGTGACGCTGCAGATGCAGTACTCTGTGCAAAGCACTCTGGGTAACGTCTGAGCTTTATTTGTCTTGTTGCAGGATTGTGAGGAAACCTGAATCCTGTTTGTTTCCTGAAGAAGCGTTTCTAGATCATATTTAAAGAGGTCAGAGGAGGAATATGAGTTTGAGATCAGAAACGCCAGCGTCTCGTGAAGATGTGTTTGGGTCTGATGCTTCCTCAGACTGGTCAGTTGACTAGCCGCGGATGAACTGGTCAGTTGTGGAGTTCTGCAGTGGTTTGTAGAGATGAAAACACACAGAGACAGTGATTGTGTAACTTGTTTTCTGTGAGTCTTTGTGTTTCAGTTATTGATCTGTTAATCACAGAAGCTTCCTGAAACACGACACACCTCTCTCTCTCTCTCTCTCTCTCTGTCTCTCTGTGTGTCTCTCTCTCTCTCTGTCTCTCTCTCTCTCTCTCTCTCTCTGTCTCTCT